GACTCTGACCCTGTGCCCTGGTCACCCCTGCAAACTGTCCTTGGGCAGCAGCCTGAGGATCCTGTGACTTCTCTGCCTGCCAGCCTCCGCTGGTTTCTTCTCCCTTAAACTAGGCCTCTGACAGCAATGGCAAGAAATAGAATTTAAGGCATTTTACAATCCTTTATTAGTTTCCCAAACCAGGAGAGAAAAACTGAAAACCTGAATTGAATTGAAAAATGGAAATTAAAAATCATTAATAGTCTTATTGTTAAGAATCTCTGATAACCTGAATCCACACAGTGCCTCAAATAATACTATTTTTCTTTTTGCCATAGGGAATGAGACCCAAAAATCATTATGACAGTCCTTCTGACCTAGATAATGCTGATACCAGCTCCCTAAACCAGAAAGAGCAGAAAGCAAGGATTATGCTTACAGCTGACAAAGCAACAATAGGAAATTGATGAGCAGTTCTGCTTTCTAAAATACGTCCACACAGGCCAAAAGAAGGCATAATGGGCAATAATTCAGTTTGCATGTAATAGGGTTCACAAAAAAAAATCATAGTTTGCAAAACTGACATATTTTTAGCATGGGACATTATGATTCACCTCTTTTGTACTGTAATGGCTTTATAATATGTATTTGTGTGTTTCTTTAATTAAAAATAATACCAACTCAATAGGTAGAAATATATGAGTACGGCCAGGCATGGTTGGTCACACCTGTAATCCCAGCACTTTGGGAGGCCGAGGCAGGCATATAACGAGGTCAGGAGTTCAAGATCAGTCTTGCCAACATGGGGAAACCCCATCTCTACTAAAAATTCAAAAATCAGTCAGGCATGGTGGTGCATGCCTGTAGTCCTAGCTACTCAGGAGGCTGAGGCAGGAGAATTGCTTGAACCCAGGAGATCGAGGTTTCAGTGAGCCAAGATCGCACCACTGCACTCCAGCCTGGGCAACAAAGCAAGGCTCCATCTCAAATATATATACATATTTTAATTTTATAACTTCCAGTAGTAATCATATATATCTATATTTGATATGTGTGTGTGTGTGTGTGTGTATGTATATATATATATATATATATATATATATATAATTTTTAATTTTATAACTTCCAGTAGTTACTTACTACTGGAAGTTATAAAATTAAAAAACAAAGTTAGCCCAAAGTTAACAGTTTCTTGTGGGTATCCCTTGAGAAATGCTGTATCCTTTTATCTGCATATATATATATATATATATACACCTCTTTTCCACATACATAACAAGCATCCTTCTATATAGGATGTTCTGCAGCCTGCTTTTGTGCTTAATGAAATACTTTAGAGATACCACGTTGGCAGCACATACACATTCTTACTAACAACTACACGGTATTCAACAGCATGGACGTTACCTACAGCACTGACCTAGTCCCACTGATAAACATATAACAGGTTCCCAGGTTTTGATCCCTAAAAACAATGATGCATATAGCTCTGTGTGTGTGTGTGTGTGTGTGTGTGTGTGTGTGTTCATCCTGCAGTGCTTTTCTGAGTCTCTTTATTACATAAATTCCCAGGAGCAGTACTGCTAAGACAAAGGTATATATGTTTTGAACTTAGGTGAATACCACTAAACTGCCCTCCAAAGAGGGCACACCAATAGATTCTACTTCAAATTTTCAAAATCCTGACTCCACAGCATCTTTTCTTCACACTTTGATTATCTAGGACTGTAGGTTTTCATCTCTAACAGAGAGATTGAAGTTCTTCTCAGATAGGTAGGTAAACAGACAGACAGACAGACAGACAGACAGACAGGGAGATGATTGATTGATTGATAGATATTATTTTGGGTATTTTTCCCCTGGTCATAGCTTTTGGCAGCCTGTCTTTTGGGATGATTTCTTTATCCACTCATAAAGCATCTTGCAAATGAATTAACTGGCCCTCTATTATGCAGTTGTCAATTATTTTTTCTAATGTTTTTAACTTTGTTTCTGGAATTCTTTCCAAAGTTTTTGTGGGGTTGTATTTATTTTTTGGTAGTCAAATTTATTAATCTGTTTATTTGTGGCTTCTGCATTTTGTGTTCCACTTAGAAGTTTCTCTCCACTTCAAGACTACAAATATAGTCATCATAAGCACTTTTTAAGGCAAAAATTTCAGAAAAGTAGCAACAACAGTCTGACTAGCCAGGTTTCTTCTGATATGAACAATAGCCAAAGCTGATTGTAAAATATGCTGCATGCAACAGAGGACCTCAGACTCGACGTCCACAGCTATTATGATCATGGCAGGTAGAAGGAGACATTACTCAGCTATGCACTTGGAAGCTCCCCAAACCCTGACTGCTCCGAAGTTCACACACATTTACACACATTCTCTGGGTGTGTTCTTGGCTATATTTTTATGCTAATGGAGAGATGGATAAAGATACGACACCAGAACGATACACTTGTTTAACGCAGCCACTAGAGAGACTGTGTAAAGATGTACCAAGCAGTGGAGAAATGGCAGCCATGTACAAGGCCTATTACAAGTTAAACAGTGCAGGCTGTTTGTTTAGATCTTCTAGCATTAATGACCTGTTTCTCTAGGAACAATTCAGAAAGGGCTGTTCTGTGATAAACAGAGACAGAAAACAAATTCATCCAACAACAAAAAGACCACCTTTGACAGAGTGGAGGTAAAACTAAGCGCAGCTACACATTACATAAAAACAGGGGAGAGAGAGAGAGAGAGAGAGAGAGAGAGAGAGAGAGAGAGTGTGTGTGTGTGTGTGTGTGTATACCCATATGGCTGTTGAGAAGTCCTTATCTGGCTTCACGGAGAGTTCAGCTGAGGCAGATGAAGGAACTTCAAAAGCTAGTGTAACACCATCTGCCGGCTTTTTCTTATGGTACTCTAATAGGTGTGTTTTTTAAACATGTTTTTATTATGTATAGAAAAATGAAAGAGCATGTATGAGCGATGTTTTTCAGCTAAATGCAAAATTATTATTAAAAAATAACCTGTTAGCAACAAATAAAGTTCACAGATCCCAAATTTCTTGCTTATAGAGTAATTTTCCAATTATAAAACATGTGGCTACATCCAAACCACAAGATGATTGCTTAAAATGCAGATTCCTGGGGCCTATTCCCAAATATTGTAATCCAGTCTCTCTATTAAGGCCCCAGACATCAGCATTTTCAAAGTTCCACAGCTGATCCAAGTTTGGGAACCACTGCTTTTTGGAAAATGTAAGCCAGTCTCTTGCAGGTGGGCTCCCATCTTTTAATAGTGCCTCTTACACTGGCTTTCACATCTTTCCATTCACTGAGCTGGGAATGTGAGGATCATTATCTCAGGAACGCAAATTCCATTCTCCCTGATGACAAGTCATGCAAAGTTTCTTTTTGGATGCTGAAAAACTTCATCCCGTCTAACACCTAGCCTTCTTTCAAGGAGTGACTTAGATTGTGGAAATTTTGTTCATGAATCCACAGCAATAAAAAATGAAACTCTTTCTTTGGCTTAGAGAAGGCTTCGATTAAAAAGCTGTCTTTTAGAATCTAAAATGAAATAAAAGGCAAGGTATACTTTTTCTGCCCAGCAAGCAGATGATGACTTTTATCAGAATAAATAGAAACTACAAAAAACAAAGAAAACAATGGTCTAAAGGTCAAATTAACATTCATTCACGTTGATTTGAGTAAGAAGACCAATGCAAAGTCAGACAAAAATGCCTCAGCTCATCGTGCAGCCACTGAAAAATGAGTAAAGATTATAATTTCCATTAAGTAGCAAAGCAGGCATCAAAGACAGTTCAGCCAACTGTAGCAACTCACTCCATTGAGCTCATCACTGGTTTTGGTTCAAGATGTTATTGGGCAAAATGTTTAGGAGTTTCTAAGCTGCTCTAATGTAATTTTCAACAATACAAATTTATGGTAGTTACAGTACCCACAGCTTAATTTTAGCCAGATGCTTTTCCCAATTTTTAAATTTATTTTTAGCCTACCACATGGCTTCAGTGGAAACTGAAAATGATACTTAGACACAGTTTTCATCATATATGCAGAGTGAAAATAGTAACACTTGGTATATTTTAGGCGGATTATTTTTTTAGGAAAGCAATGAAATGCACTGTGAAATAATATCATTAAATATGCTAATGTTGCTACCTAAAGTATCTACAAGCAAGTAGGAAAGATCAAGAAAAGAGACATCATCAGCTACAATAGTCTAAATATACTGTAACATCTTCTTTAGCGGTTTTAATTCAGAAGACTCTAGCGTTCTCTATGTAGAATCAGCTGTTAGTGGAACAGTGAAGTGGTCAATATTTGTAAATTAGTTTTATGAATTGTCATAATAACAGACTAAGCTACAAAATACTTAAACTCTCTCTTTCACACACACATACACACACACATACACGCCTCGACTTTAAAGGGAAGTGACAGACTTTGGTTTTGATGGCTTTGTTGTCTGAATTTGCTCAGATGGCATTAGGTGGGTGTGTGAGCAGATGGGTAAAACAAACTAGTACAGGTGAACGATCCCATCTGTAACAGAATTTGTTAAGGTGACTTCCAAACTCAAACCTTAAAGCAGAGGTGTCCAATGTTTAGGTTTCCCTAGGCCACAGGAAGAAGAAGAACGTCTTGGGCCACACATAAAATATACTAACACTAACGATAGCTGATGAACTAAATAAAAGAACAAAAATATTCATTATGTTTTAGGAAAGTTTACAGATTTGTGAATTCAAAGCTATCCTGGGCTGCAGGTTAGACAAGCTTGCCTGAAAGGTTTCATGATCAACTTACTAGCTCTTCTCTTGGAATAAGTTCTTCCTCCTCTGCAGTGGGAAATCTATAGAGGGGCATTCCTGCTAATCCAGAATGTGCATGTAAGGACATTGTGGAAGCCTTTGGTTTTGCACTAAAGTCATCCTCAAAAATTAATATCACATAATCACATATAGCAGAAATGCAGAGCAAAGAGTTTACTGGGAAGTTTGAAGCTGACAGCGACTTACTGGAGACGTGGTTAATCGAAGGATAGTGCCATTTTTTATCTCGTTGCGGTTCTGGAAAAGAAATAAAATGTCCTTGTAAATCTTCAAGTAGAAGCTTGGTAAGGAAGAGAACAAAGGCAAATATAACCTAACAGATATAACAAGCATTCAGTTTATTCTCACTTGAATAATTTTTAATTATTTCTACACAGGCTGTTAAGTTTCTATCAAGTCACTGACAATATTCAGCACAAAGGAAGTGAATATAAAATCCAAAGGAAAGGAATATGGGTCCCAAGTATAGCAAACAAAAAAAGGAATTTTAAAAGGTTATTAAGAGCATATGACCTGACAGTTCCACTCCTACATGTTTACTCAATAGAACTGAAAATATACGTCAATACAAACATTCGTGCAATAATGTTCACATAAACATTATCTATAATAGCCAAAAAGAAGAAACAACACACATGAGTGAATAAAAGGTCTTTGTGGGTGCCGCCATTTCTTCCATCCTTGGTCTCTGTGCCTTTCGCAGAGCTTCCAGCAGCGCTATGTTGGGCCAGAGCATCCAGAGGTTCACAACCTCTGCAGTCCTAGGTGCACTATGAGGAGGGCCCTGGGAAGAATTTGCCATTGTCAGTGGAAAACAAGTGTCGGTTACTAGCTATGATGTGTTTGTACTTTGGATCTGGATTTGATGAGCCTTTCTTTATAGTAAGACACCAACTGCTTAAAAAATAAGCATGTTTCAGTTCATCCATTTAACAGAAATGAAAAGCATTCTAAGAGGTGCAGTCTCTGGAAAATGGATCAAACTTGAATTCATATGACATACTAGATATGTGTGTAAATAAACTATGACATGAAAAAAGAAACAACACACATGTTCGTTACTTGATAAATGGATAAGCAAAATGTGGTCTATCCACAGAAAATTAGTAATTCATAAAGAGAAATGAAGAGCTGGGTGCAGTGGCTCATGCCTGTAGTTCCGTCACTTTGGGAGGCTGAGGCAGGCAGATCACCTGAGGTCAGGAGTTCGAGACCAGCCTGGCCAACATGGCAAAACCCCATCTCTACTAACATACCAAAAAAAAAAAAAAAATAGCCAAGTGTGGTGGCAGGCGCCTGTAGTCCCAGCTACTCAGGTGACTGAGGCAGGAGAATCACTTGAACCCAGGAGTCAGAGGTGATAGTGAACTGAGATCACACCACTGTACTCTAGCCTGGGCAACAAGAATGAAATTCCATCTTAAAAGGAATGAAGTATCAATACATGCCACAACATGGATGAGCCTTGAAAACATTACACTAAGTGAAAGATGCCACACAAATAATTTCATTTGTATGAAATGTCCAGGATAGGCAAATCAATAGAATCAGGCATTAGGATAAGTGGTTGCCTAAGGCTGGGTGAGGGAGGGAATGGGAATGACTCCCTGGGTCCAGTGTTTTCTTTTGGGGTGATGCAAATGTTTTGGAACTAGATAGGTAATGGCTGTACAACATTGTGAATGCACGAAATACTCCCAAATTGGACACCTGTAAAAGGTGAATCATTGTGACATATATCTCAATAAAGCTGTTTTTTTAAAAGGGTTATTAAGGAGTTTGGCTTCTTAACATTTGCTGGTTCCTTTTGCATGTTGCCTTGAAGTTAAGAACAAATAGTATAAATAAGTAGCTCTCCAATAAGTCTGCCTCTATTTGGCAAGTATATTTGAGGTGAGTGTTATAAAACTATCACTTAGCATTTGATGTGGTTTGGCTTTGTGTACCCACCAAAATCTCATCTTCACTTGTAATCCCCAGGTGTTGAGGGAGGGACCTGGGGAAGCCAATTGGATCTTAAGGGCAGTTTTCCCCATGCTGTTTTCATATGAGTGAGTGAGTTCTCAGGAGACGTGATGTTTTTACAAGTGGCTCTTTCCCCTTTGCTTCTTTGACATGGTCTCTCACCTGCTGCTATGTAAGACATGCCTGCTTATCTGTCTACCATGATTGTAAGTTTCCTGAGGCCTTCCTAGCCATGTGGAACTGTGAGTCAATTAAACCTCTTTTCTTTATAAATTACCCAGTCTTGGGTAGTTCTTTATAGCAGTGTGAGAACAGACTAATACAGCATCTTTGGCATTGAAGATAGAATTTCATTGGTGGTTTTATTTTCTTCCACCAGTGTATGCACCATGCCCAATTTCCAGGAGGAAACCTTCCAGGATTCACCGTGGTTGCATGCCCTACCTTGTATGCTGAGGTCAGGGGTTAATAAATGTGCCTTCAGGATCATTACCCTGCATAGTTTACAACAAGCCACAAGCTGGAGTTTGCTCAGGACTCAGCAGACACAGTGAGGAGGTTGGAAATTTCTTGATGAGATGCCAAAGACACATAAGATTGCCTGCTTCCTCACCCAATTCTGATGACTTTTTGGACAATGATTTTTCTAAAAGAACCACCCCAAAACGGGCAGCCTTCAGGCCGGTACTCCCTCCCAAAGAAAACCAGATCTGAACATTTCACACCAAGTACAAGCAAGCCTGAAAACCCAACAGCACCAGATCCAAGCCCTATGTGTGCGATTCAGCCCAGTGTAGAGCATCCCCTGATATACTAGGCCATCTCTGGAGAGAGCCAGTTCCTCATTACCGGAAGCGTGCAAGCGTGGTCCTGAATGCCTCTTGGCAGGCAGGCTGAGATAAAAGATAGGGAAATGAATTCAAGCTGTTTTTAAAATCTCTTTTCAACTCTAAAATTCTATGACTCTGTGAGAAATGAAAAGGAAGATGGCAAACGCTAACAATAGAGTTCTAAGGAAGCCAAATACATAACATACCCCTTCTTTGCTCAAGTTCTAAACAACTTGAGAAAATAAGATGGAGAACTAAAAATCCTTTATATTAGTGATTATGGAGAACAAGGCTCAGAGTGAGTCAGCAGGTGCACTAACTGAACCCCTGAACCCTTGGGTCAGGCATACCTGTTCATGTAAGACTTAAGGGAGGTCCCTTTCCAAAAGGAAAGAGGTCTAGTTTATTCTTCCCAAATTTTTCCAAATAGAAGGGAAGAAGGCCCTAAGGGTATAAAGGGACCAGGAGGGTTTAGAAATAATCTTTCTAATAATCATGGAGATTTGGAGTTGTGATGAGGCATTCCTAACAAAAACAATAAATTAACATTTATTGAAAGAAACTGCACTGGGAGTTTTTGTTTCTCATGCTTATGTAACCAACGTCATAACTCTATGCCCACGTTAAAGGTGGGAAAGCAAAGCTGCTGAGGGGATAAGTTATTTGCCCAACATTATGGAGGAGAATGAGAGGATTCACACCCAGGTAATCTGACAACAAAGGCTGTACTCTGTCTGCCTGACAAAGGTAAGACCCAGACCTTGCATTTACCTTTAGAGGGGAGAGTTCATCAGTCACTCAACATACATGAGAGCAAAGAATCAGGACAGGGGCTAAGGAATGCTCCCCACAGTCCCAGGGCTTCCTTGCCACAGCCAAGATGACATACTGGGTGCTCGGTGGGAGGAGGGCTGGGGGAAATTCCACAGTTGGCCTCTAGGCTCCCTCAGGCACTCCTTCAAGGTTCACTCATTCCTTTTTGGAACTCAAGCAAGATTGCTTTCAAGAAAGGGTTTTGAGGATTGTTTGTTTGAAAGCAAATCATTATTAAATCCTCTGATAAGGCTGGGCTCACTTCCTCCTCTGTTTCCCACCAGCTGAGTGGTCTCAGTACAAACTACTTAATTCCTCTGATCTAAGTTCTCTTCCCCAAAGTGGGAAGAACAATGCACTGTTAAAGGTGAATGAGAACAAGAGGAAACAGACACCAGCGATGCAACTAGACTCCAACTGGCTCAAGAATGGGAGCAATTCCTGATGTCCCAGAGATAGCAGCACCTTCTGCCTGTGCCTTCTCAGTCAACAGTTGTGTTTATCTTCTCTGCCTTCCTTCCCCCATGTTTTAAAATCAGTGTCTTATATGTTAGAAGAAAAGGAGATATGCAGAAGAACTACTAAAATATGCATTAAACATTTTAAGGTCCTGACAGAAAGATAGACCAAACTCAGAAACAAAGGCAATGGTAGATCACTGTTTCTGAGACTGTATTCTATCCAGAAAGTCAAGTGGATTACAGCTTTTTCACCATGTGCTGATGAAAACTTTGGCTCTGTAAGAAAGGCCTAACTTGGGATGTAAACTTTGTTAGCAAAGAAAGAGGCGTGCCATTGTTCTGATTTCATAAATCCCATGCAAGAGGCATAGTGCGTAGTTTAGAAGTGACAGGACCACCCAGATGGGACACACATTTCACTTTCGAGCTGGAAAACCTGGTGCAAGTGGCATAGCTGTCCTCATGTCCCCAGCTTTCTCATGTCCCTGGCTTTGTCACATGGAAAATGAGAATATTCCCTATTTTCTAAGGTTGTTCTGAGGACTAAGTGACATAATACATTTAAAGTGCTTAGAACAGTGCCTGTACATTGCAAGTGCTAAAGAAATGGGGGGGGGGGGGGGAGGAGAGATCACTGTTTATTATTAAGCACAAAAATACCATCCAAAAAGCACACTGCCATACCCTAATTTGTTTTTAGCTATATCTTATATGTAAACAATAAATAAAACTAATAGCACAATCTGTTACCCCAAGGACAGAAACATCTATCCAGCAGGGTAACAAACATTAGCAAATTCATACCTCTTCTGTAAGTTGACCAGCATGGCTAAGGATGAATTCTGTCTCACAAGCATGCTTTATATTGGAGGCTGGGAATCTCTCATTCGCTTTTCTTATCCTGTTCAGTCCTCAGTCGGTTTCAGAGGGAGCAGCCCTCTGAGCATCAATAAGTGCTGTGTATATGCTTTTACTGATTCATCTTTTTTGTTCATTGGCTGTCTTCCTTGCCCCCAGGATGTCACCTCCACGAGAGCAGAGAGTTTATTATGTCTAAATCACTCCCATCCAGAACAGTGGACACCTATGGCCTGGCACATGCTGGCACTCAAAAACTATCTATTGAATAAATGGCTGAACTACTATATGCCAGCTACAGATGAGGCACCAAGGCAGATACAAAGTGAAATAGGACTAATTCCTGTCTGCTGGGAATTGGTCAAAGGGAGAGAAACTGACATGTAATAACTGTATCTGTACCAAGGCAGAGTCCTGGGGGTGACCAGCCCTGCATCAGCACTCAGGTGTGATGTGGGGAGAGGGGAAGAAGAACAGGGTGTGCAGCAAAGGCTTTTAGAGGAGGTGACATTCAAGAGGGTCCTCTGGGCATAGGCAGGATTTCCCAGGAGAGAGGAGGAAACATCACATCTCAAAGGTCTGGGGCATGAAAGGACAAGACATCCTCATGGAATAGAGAAAAGTCCTGAGTGGTCGCTTAGAGACAGAGATGCACAAAGAATAGGAAAATGGGACACTTGAAAGGTAAACTGATCTTCCACCATTTAAAAAGAGGGAGGAGCAGGAGTAAGGGGTGGCACTGCGGCTCTGATTTGCTGCTAGTGTATGTGTCATCCCTCTCTTGAGGAGCCAGCTGGGCAATACGGAAGGCATATCTGTGCACAGTTAAGAAGGGGAATTTCAAGGCTCAGGCTTTGGGAATAAGAGTCGTGTGTCCTGCTTCCTGAGAAAGGAATCCAGAGCCTCTGGGCTGAGAACAGAAACCATCTACCTCACACCCACACTCAGCTGGTCACTGAGAATGCAAACCTGCCAGTGTCAGCAATAACAGCACTTTGTACGCTTCCTCTGTCTTCATTGGCATAACTTTATTCTTCCAGAAGTCTCCTTGCCTAGGCAGAATGGTATGACTGCTCATTACAAGAACTTTCTGAAATACACAGAAACTCAAATGAA